CCCAGCTCGCAGGGCCGCAGCCAGGGGACATGAACCGTGAACCAGAACCTCAGGTGCTTCTCTCTTACGTGTTTGGAATTTGCCTCTAGCAAGGGCAGACTTAAAGAACTTTTTTTTTTTTTTTCTTTTTTTTTTTTTTTTTTTTTTTTTTTTTTTTTTAAGGCGGTGGAGAATAATTTTACCCACCATCTTGTAAAAGGAAAGGAAAGAGGCGGGCGCACCTGGCCACTAACACCAGGCAGGGATCCACGCAGACTCTAGGCCGCCGCTGCCTCCGTGGGTGGATGCGTTAAAATTTAGTCCTCTGGCTCAGGAGGTCTGCGCCTCACCAGCATAAACATCTCCCTCCTCCCAGCACTGAGGGCAAACAGCCTAGAAGAGTGACGACATTGCTCCCCCGAGAGTTCTTTGCACGCGAGGGAGACCCAGGATACTGCCCTGCTGGAGCCCGTTGGTGGCGGTTCAGGTGCCCAGGACTCCAGCGCTATGGGCGCGGCGAGCTAGTGGCGGTGGCGGATTCGCAACTAACGCGCCTGTGCGTGCAAAGCCCCGCGCGCCCCTCTCGTGCAGAACGAAGGGGAGGAGGCTCCGAGGGCCGTGTGACCCTTTCTCCACATCAGGCGGAGTCCAGACTAGAGAGGCTGAAATTTGGGTTGTAAAAGAGTAAGCGTATGGCGCCCAAGCTCCCAAAGTGGGTTTTAGTGCGGTGGTCCAGACGTGACCGCATTGCCATGCCAACCTCTGCTCTAGCATAGACCTCCTCCTGCATTCTGATAATTCGTCTCTGCTATTTGAGCATCTCATCAAAGCTAGAGTGATTTCTGCTGTCTCTCGTTTTTACAGACTGCCAGGGGTGCACACATACACTTTTTCCTGTTCTCTCATCACATGCACCAGGGTACAGACAAGAATTTTACTCAGTAGCCAAGGTCAAGGATGAAGGGTATATTTATAATCAAGATGCAAAATCTGAAGACAGCCACTTAAGCATCTTAGTATGTTATATCCAGATGTTCACTCTCTACCAGTGAAAAGGACAATTTGTCTAGGGAAATATTAAGGTCTTAGGACAGATTAACATTTTTTCTTGCATATTCCAGACCCATCTTATTACCACATTTAGGCACTGACAGCTCTGAAATCATTGTAATGTTAAAGCAGAAACAAGACTTCCTTGCAACTTAGACCCACATGGACAAGAAACAAAGGAGGGGAGGAACCTCAGAAAGAACACCCCTTTTTAGAAATTATGGTAAATGTTACCTATCTGATCAGGGTGTTTTGCAAAGCATTTTCATGCATTGATAAAATCTCTGAAGTAACATTTCTTAGGCATCTGCCTCAGTTGACCCTTGAAATATCTAGGATTAGCTTCAGTGGTTACATACTTACAGAAAAAAAGAAAAAGCAAGTATAACCTTGAATGGGTTGCTGAGAAATGAGTATTTCTTGTATTGTACACCACTATGTCGGGAGACACAAATTTTAAGCTTTAACATCAAACACCTCTGAAAAGCAGCAGTAGCTGGAGAGACAGCTCTGATTCTGTGCATTTTGAAGACGGAAGTGGGTGAGGGTGTTCCAGTCCAGGCCTGGGCACAATTCACATTTTTTCTTTCCAGAAATTGAGCTAGGAATGGTGTATGTGCCTATCTCAGCAATGCTGGTCACAAGAACACAACCAAGATGGAAGCGGGAGATGAATATTGGTTAGCAAATTCAGGTTGAAAGATACTTTGACTCCTAAGTTGATTGGAGGTGGACAGTCCGAGAGGACTGGGCAGGCCAGTGTCCCCTCAGAATGGTGAGTGGCCTGAGGATGAGCTGGATCCAAAGGGTGAGTGCCTAAGTAGCTTCAGGACTTTAACAGGAACCGCTCAGCTCCTTGAATCTCTAGGGGGTTTCCTCTTCTTTGAGCCCCTTTTCTTCTCAGTCAGTGGCTGCACTCAGTCCCCACCTATGCATATCAGAAGTGCCAAGCCCGGCCCCCTTTAGTTCATAAACAAATCACCCACTTCCAGAGCAGACCCTTCCTTGGGGTCACCTAGGGCAGAGGTGGAGCCCAGAACAGCTTTTAGATCTGGGCCCTTGAACCCAACCTAATTTAGAAATCTATTCCCTGTGGGTCTGAGAATCAGCATCCCACAAAGTGGAAGGCAAGGGGAACCCCCCTTACCTAGGCACTTTGGACCTGCAGAAGCAGAGAGGCCAGGAGAGAGGATTAGCTTCCCACAGGACATCTCTGGTTGCTGTATGAGTGGGACCTGGATCTGCCTTCTACACCTAACTCATGTCT